ATCCCCTTCGCTGCTTACGACCCCGAGAACCATGACTGAGGCGGGGAATTTTGTGTGCATGACGGTGGGCACTTCTGAAGCATCTTGGCATATCCATCTGTCATTTTGACGATTTACCTTCCTGTCCTGAATAAAATTTTTTTCGTCCGAAAAGAACCTCAGATAGCCGGTGCTCTCGTGCTTGATGTCATTCAACAATGCTTGACACTTGAGTTTTCGATCAGCTTTGTTTCTGTCTGTCAACAACTGCCGGTTCCGGAGAACAAAGGATTTGTAGCCAAGGTCCTCGTGCACTGCCAGACTAATTGTTGACCGCGCCACGCCCATTTCTATCGCCAACTTGCCCATGCTGCATCCAGGATCCGCGTCGATCTTCTCTTTCAGTTCGTCAACGAAGTCGGTTGTCCTTTTCCGGTCCGATCGTTTGCTGTGGCTTGCCCGCTCAGAGGAAACCTCGTGGGGGTTGTCAGCCTCCCGAAACTTCCTGCTGATCTCATAAACTTGAGTTTTTTTGTATCCAAACCACTCAATAATCTCCTTTGGCGATTTTCCGGCGCGAAGTGACTCGACGATGGCCGCTCTTCGGTCCTGTTCCCGGCTCATGTTTGTGCAAGTTGAAAAGTGCTAATACCACAGTGACTCCTGACGATATGATCTAAAAGTGGGATAGGGTAACTGCAGGGTTACACACAACTGTCGCTAGAGGGCGCTCTATGAACACATTCCGGATTTACCTCGACGGCCCTGTATACATAATACAAAAGAAGGATAATCTGTCGGTGTCTGGGTACCAGTCTGATGAAACTCCTTATGGATGTACGGATTTAAGTGATTGAGTAAAGCTGAAAGTGACACTAGTGATTGACTAGATACTGGATAAGAAGTCAGCCCAACTCAATGCATTTCCTCGCCCTCGATCCTTCAACTCGATGTCCTTCAACGGAACGATGAAGTTCCCCGCCGCGGTGAATCCTCTAGTTAGAGGTGTTTACCCCACCCCCACCCACCTCCCTAAAGCCTATACGGAAAATGCTGTCTTCCCACACGTTTGGAGGATCTGCAATGTTTGCAGTAACATTGTTCGCATAAGAAATGAATGACTCGCTAGCATGCATTCGTCTCGCCTTGGAATACAAAAATTTATGATGAGAGGAAATGAGAGTAGGTCAAACTTAATAACAGATTATATGCCCATTTGAGTTGTTTAATTTTCCTTTTTTTTCTATCTCGAACAAAGCAACCTTTATTTTTCCTTTCGGGAAGTGATAGGGATAAGAGAGACATCCATCTCCTCCTCTCCGCTAAGAAAGACTTCCTAATGTAGAGGAGGAGATTGATAGACATAATTTTTGTTCCCTCGTGGAACATCGATAATTAAATCTTTCTAACGACATGAATCAGATGCAACAAGAATCTTCGGAATTTGATTCAAAAAAACCATTTCCACTCGGGTTCCCTCGCGACAGTCGAGACGTTGCACGCCTGGACTTCCGACTCCAGGCCGAGAGCTAGAGCATATTCCTTTGCATATTCCTGGATCCGCGATACGGATCCAGGAATATGTAAATGATTTTTCTCCAGGATTCTCATTTTTTACTCATTGTCCTCATTATTGGAAATAAAAAAAAACAGATTTTTTGCATTCATTTCATGAAATAAAAAATGGAACCTGCAGAGGAGCATGAGGATTTACAACAATCATTAATTCTTTTAAGTTCATAGTAACAAAGAAGATATACGTCGGTACTTGAGTTTTCCGTACATTTGAATAGTACTGCTAAATGGCAAAAAAAAACAGACAGGTCAATTTCATCAAAGAAGGAAGATAATCTTGTTGAATCTGGCAGTAGGTATTTTAGCGGCGATGGGATGTCCTTTGGCCGGGTATGTCTGATGAAGCCGTTGCTGGATCGACGAACGTGTGACACCAGCACGGGATTCATGTTGTGCCGTGTTGTGCTTCATATGGAGATGTAATATGTACTTCTCGAGCTTTTACTTTCGAAATGTTCCTACCATCCAAACTTATTTTACTTTCGATTTAATGCAAAAAGCATAACTTTAGTTCTAGCAGTGGAAAGACCGAGCAGCGAAAGCCAAAGAGGCAAACAAGTCCTTCCGCCGAGCGGAATCAAGAAATATAAGTCTGCCCGCTCGACCAACGACCACGCAAGTCTTCCATGAGGCGTTTGGCCGTGACTCTGCGGCGATGCTGGCGACGACACAACGGAAAAGTCGCATTCATGAATGGAAATCGTTGCGTTTTGGAATCTGCAGAATTAGATTCATCAATGAGTCGTTTTGCAAGGGAAACCAAGGAAAGGAGAATATTTACATTCAAGTTACGCGTGAATTTGACATGCTGATCGTGTTTGAATTAAGTAGCGATTTTCGGAATTTCGTAACTGACCTATCTCATTTGCTCCTCCCACCCGAACTTGCGAGGACGTTCCTACGCCTATTATAGGTCCAATGAGCAATCTATGGGATTTCTATACGATCCTACAGGATTCCCATACATTTCCATTGAATTCCTAAAGGACGTTTGTGTATGGACATGGCCAGCTTTCAAACATTTTTTATGCCATCAAACCTATCAGTGTGATTGAAAATATTGGATTATGTGCTTTTTTCCTATTGGCGGCGCTTTACATATGCTTGCGTTACGTTAATGCATGGTATATCTCAGCAATGTCAAGGACATGCATAATTCACTATTCCTCCAAAAGGTTCCCTCGGGTTTCGCCTTCATTCAGCATCTTTCATCGTCTCCATCAGTCACCACAGTTTATTCGTATTAGATTAAACATGTATAGGACCCTTGAAAATGGAATCTGGCATGCCGCCGAGGCAGGAGAAACTCTGGGAGACCAGATTTTTCGATCAGTTATCATTGGGAAAAAATTTTAAAATGATGGAATGTTATGGAATGTCGAAACTCGCCCCTCGTCATGCCACGCGAACCGGTGCTGAACCGGTGCCAAACCGGAACCATTGGCTCTTTCATGCCACTGGTTCATTGCTCATTTCGTATGCAGAAATTCGAGAGGAAAAATAAACTTGGAAATCCCAGCCTTCCACAACGGAAATAGAAGCAGAGATTTAAAGGGCGATGAAGGGCAGAGGAGACTGTCGCTGTCGCCCGCGAATCTTTTCGCCACCATCCGTGAACAAAACCAGTTAGGAAATGCTAATTAGATCATAGTGAAATATATTATGATCGATATCCACGCATCTTTGTGAAGTGGGATGCGGTTGAACTTCGCAGTTGGAACTTCGTACAATGTCAGGCAGTTCAAAATAATTCCACGGAAGAAGGCATTAAGCGAGAATGCATGCGTGAAAATAGTAATAGGCATTAATATAAGTAATAATAATAATGAACACACTAACGAAGGAAGGATTTCCGAAATCCCAGGGAAATTCGGTGTTTCTCTGCTCAAACCGGTATTTTTCCAACCCTGTTTCCTCCTTTTCCCTCCACGTTTTTTCCTTTTCGAATTCCGAGGCTGAAAAGACAGCGTTCCACCCGAAACCCTGAAAGGTATCGCCTCATACAACCTTTCCACCTTCCATGCAAGACACCCACCTTCCAATACGATTCCGCCACCTTTCGGAAGTCTTGGCCCCGTCATTCTTATCACAGATATGCAGCCGAAGGCCTCTTACGTTGGAAATCTCCCTTAAACGGCTTCCCGCAGGAAAACAAAATACATGGAAATGACTACCGGTTCGGCCGCTTCTTCAGAGATTCAAATGTGAGGTAATCTGATGAAATCATGCGAAACGGTGAGGAACGTGCCTATCGGATCATCACGCCGTTCTGCCTCCAGTTATTCGATAACAGGATCCTGTTTAACGTACGTCACGGCGAGCTCCGGATCCACCAATACATCGCGATCGAATTCATTGGAGTATCGAAAATACTTCAAAGAGATTCGATTAAAAAAAATATTTAATATTAGTGCCTGTTCTAATTCTCGCCGCGATGCGATTCCCCTGCCTGCCTTTGCCTCTCATCCAAGCAGCTGCACCGAGAAGTCGCAACGTGGAAACCATCGGCGACTGGGGGGGGGGGGGGGGGGGGGGGGGGGGGGTATGGGACACTTTAGGAGATATCATCGCGAACTCCGCACTGATAGACGTAAATCTCGGCACGAAATGGTCTCCCGCGCAAATCCCGAACTTTCGGGAATATCTCCCAAATGAAGCAAAAACTAATTTTGTATAACACACCACTCATTTGGGTTGATGAAGGGCTCTAAATCCAGCGTTCGTGATCACTTTGCTTTGGAACTTCGAGAAGTTGAGCTTCACGGACGTGAAACCCGTTAATGGCATTCAGCACATTACAACAACTAAAGAGCCCCAAAAGGGGGGATCACTCTTCGGGAAACCATGCGGTTTTCTTGCATAGAAAGCATCCCTCCTCGACGATCTCGGGGCACTTATCTAAAGAACAGATTTTGAGGAAAACGCTGGGAGATGCACGGCGAGACACGGATGAAGGCAGGGCCGAGATTCGAATCCGATCTAGATGAGGCGGCGACGGGACGCAGGGGGTTCTCGAGCGGGTCAGGAGGCACGGGTCCCGTAAGGCACATAGACCTCCACCGAGCCCCAGTTGACTCGCGTCCAGCGTCTCAGTCAGGCCAACCGCGACAGGATGGAGAGCTCCCTTCGGTGCATCCTCGCTTTCCTCGCCTTCCTTCCCGTCCACGTCCTCGCTGATAATACCACCCCGGTACGTCGAGACCTTCGTTTCTCGTGCGGAATCGCTTTTCTCTTTCTTTGTGTGCATCAGCAAGATTTTCTCCTTCGTGTTCTCTTTATTTTACTTTAAGGAAATTAGTGGCGGCTGAATATGTGAAGGAGGCATCCGACCCTTTTTCCGCTTCTAAATATGGAAATAATCCCTACTCTGATTATTGCTTCATCGCCCATGGGGCGATGGAAAATGAATCAGGAGGCAATACGCTTCCCCTCGTGTATTGGGATGAATGCGCTCCGAATTATTTGATATTAGGACAAGTGACATCAATGGTTAGTATAACCCAACCGCGTGCACCAGCTGGATGCATATCACCAGGGGACTTAACATTTTGGGACTGTGTTTACCATAGTGGGTAAAGATGAAGTAATCTGGGTGATCATCGATTTACGGAAAATGAAGCTCAAAATATTAAGGAATAAATTATGAAGAAGCTCAAATGAAACTCATATCCATGAACGCATTTCTAACATAAATGATGCTGGAATGCCTTTTTATCTGCATACGGTAATGATATTATCATGAAATTAATAATGGACCTAAGTGAACCTCTTCTTCGCGAGAACCATTGCACAGCCACTTGCAAGCGACCTTGCAAGAAATTTGACAACACCTTTTCGAATCGGCAAGAGGTGAAAGGTTTTGCCTCGGCGCCCAATGCCTTGCAATCTGATGCAATTTTCGGCTGGTCTTTCTCCCGAAATAAGTGATTCTCCTCAAGCAAGAACGAGAAAGTACCCGTCGTGGTCCCTACAACGGGCCTTCGTAGAGCCCATCACCTTTCTTCGACCCCATCCGGCGATAAAATTCAACCGTCTCGCGTTCTTCTCTGAGAGCATCAACAGGAACGAAATTTGTCATCCTTCCTTTCTCAACACAGAATCGCTACAGCCCCCTTGAAGCTCCGTCTTGGGAATTGTGGAAATCACTGATTCTCGCGTTTCGGAGATGTGAATTTCATTCCTGTATCTATTATTATTATAATTAATTTTATGTTCTGCCCCCTTCGGTCGTCACTCCTGAGGAGCTTCCGTAAAAAAAAGACTGACTAAACGAAACATATTCACTAATAGGCGACGAAAAGTACGCTATTTATTGCTCCCTGTGCAACACTCCCCCGTGAAAATGCATCTCTTTTTTTCCGAAGAATACATTATTGCGCCGAATTCGTGAGATGAGCTGAGAATGAAACGGTGCTTTCCTGCGGCCGATGGATTTGGTGGACATACGGAGATATCTCATCCGGACGACCCTAAATTAACATGATGGCAGCCAGCTCGTACGCCATGCTTTCTAAAGGAACAAAGTCGAGGCGGTTCGAGAAACTCTGGACAGGTCTAATGTTCCCCGACTGCACTGAAATGATTTATGAAACTCGAAAAAGACCTACGATCGGTCTTACGTCACACGTCCTCGACGAGGCGTCTCGAACACACGGGATTAATCCTTATTTGTTCTATTTTGGCCTGACATATTTGGCCTAATTGTTCCGTAGGTCGAGGATTGAGTTTCTTTTGATCGAAAAGATGTAGGGCTGGGCCTGACCAGAAGCCGGTCGGTTAGGTTTAGGCCTAACGTTAGTGAGTTCCGTAGAGATGGGGGAAGGAGGAGGGGAGTTCAGGTTGAGGTTAAGGTAGGGATTAGGGGATTGAAGAAAGGTAAAATCCTTCAAATTTTGGTTCTCATATTGCTGCATTTAGTATTTGTGGTACCTTTACACATTTAAAATCAACTAATTAATTAATTAGTTAATAAGGCTTCTTCTGAGTTGTTTTGCAGGGTTCTGCACGAAACCCTGGGAGACCGAAAGTAATTATTATTAATTTATTACTTAACTGTTTCAGCATGACACGCCAGGATTATATCATAAAAATGGATGAAATCATTCGTATTACCAGAGGAAGCACGCACTTCTATTGCATAAAAAGTAAATTAAGCATGCTGGAACCAACAGGGAAACCGATTTCTCGGTTGAAGAAACTGTAATTGAAATATTACTATTATTATTTATAAACACTGATAAGGACTGTTAAAGGAAAATATGGCTAACCGAAGGGCTATTTTGAAAAGGTAGCCCCTATCAGTCTGACCCTGAGGATACTGACCCCTCCCGCCGATAAGAGCCACGGGGGCATTCCCGATACACGATATCCCAGTACAGGCATCTCCATCGAACGAGCCCCAGACGCATATCTAACGCACGCACTCGATATGCGTCTGGACGTGTGACCCAGTGCACTTCGGCGCGACGTTCCTTCGAGGCAAGACCGAAACCCTACATTGCCACGGCTGCAGCGAACTATGCGAGGATCTGTTCGCGCTTTCACTTTCATCTCGATGGAGGGGGTGCCTCAGCTTTGAGAGANCATATCTAACGCACGCACTCGATATGCGTCTGGACGTGTGACCCAGTGCACTTCGGCGCGACGTTCCTTCGAGGCAAGACCGAAACCCTACATTGCCACGGCTGCAGCGAACTATGCGAGGATCTGTTCGCGCTTTCACTTTCATCTCGATGGAGGGGGTGCCTCAGCTTTGAGAGAAGTCTCGGTCCCCAGGGGAAGCTGTGGCTTTTCCTGGAGACGCTTCTCACCTCCACCCATCAACCCTGAAAATGTAGTTCGCGCTTTCACCTTCATCTCGATGGAGGGGGTGCCTCAGCTTTGAGAGAAGTCTCGGTCCCCAGGGGAAGCTGTGGCTTTTCCTGGAGACGCTTCTCACCTCCACCCATCAACCCTGAAAATGTTATATTGACCTGAGATAAGGAGGCGAGCACTTTCTCATCGCTCAAGCTTGAAATTTCTTAATCAGTTGTGCTTAAAATACTTAAAGAATTAAGTCTAAGGAGTTATGCTTAATCAATAGTGCTTAATCAGTTATGTTTAATTGCGTGCCGGACGATACAAGCTGACGGATTATATTCTTGGATCAATACTTAATGCAAACGCCAATAAGTTAAATTTTAAAATTTTCCTTTCAAGCAGTTGGGTTGATATTGCCATAAAGGCATCTCCATAATATTCGTTTCCCACCGTTCGAGCTTTGGGATTTGACTCTAGTCGACATACCTGCAGAAAGGGATTCAATGGATTTCCTTAACTGACAAATATTTCGTTGCTGGAGCACTTCCGGCCCCATAATCCAAGTCGGTGAATTTTCCCAAAGGTCCGGAACGATGCTTGAGCCACCTGAGAATTTTTAAAATCTACTGGAAGCTGATGACGTTTGCTGAAAGTGGTTGAAGTTCGCTTAAATTTGCTGAAATCAACTGGATGACGTTAAACTTTACTGATATAGCTAAATGTTACAAATATATGCCGACACTCGCTGAAGTATCTCCGTGTCTTCTCCACAGGCACCGCTGATCCATTGGAAGTTGCCCATCCCAGGCTTCCTGCAGCACTTCGGAATCACCGAGTCGGCCGTGCAGAGGCAGCTCGTGAACCTCCTCCAGGTCAGTGCCGGCCCGGTCCGGGGATGGTCCGGGGCGGGGACCAGGACCGGGATGAGCTCGTTTGGTTTTTGGTACCCGTGAGAATGGCCCCGATTGAAGAGGCTTTTTCATTGTTCCTGTATAGTCTGACATTTTTCATTTCATTTTTGCATTCGTCCGTAATTTTTTATATTCCAGCCCTTGCATTGTTTCGAAGTTCTATTTTTTCGCACAACACATTTAGAAACACCAATGACAGTTTCCCCGGGAAAGCTTGACGCCCACATGCCTTCCCCCATCCCCTCTCTTGTGCTTTCCTGTAAAGAAATGAGAGAAGGTGAATGAAAAGTTACGTAGGAAAGGGTTCGAGGCGTCGGAAACTGCTTGTGACAGCGATAAAAAGCAACGTTTCATTTCCACCAAATATTCGTAGGGTAGGATGAGGTATTTTGACAGCGCGTCTCTGTCACTGCGTCCCAATTTCGAGGCCATCACTAAATTCCAAAACTCACATTTTCACAAGTTAAGCAGAAAAAAAGGCTTTGCCTTTACGTAGCTCGAACAACGCCAAAACACTTCAAATGGAACTGGAGCGGGAACTGCCAGGAACAAAAATGAAGCATCTCGGCTTATCCGAGGTTACTGCTGGAAGTCTAATCGAAATTGCGAATGCTTTTAAAACTTACAGCCTGCATTAAGTGCTTCAGAGGACGTACTCCTCTAGTATCTCTGAAAATTTCCTTCTTTCAGAACAGATAACATAGAATTGGAAAGGGCGCGCCTTGGTCGAACAAAAAAATAAAAACAATAACGGTAAAAGTGATGAATCGAAGGTAATTGAACTGAAATACGGCATGCTATTTAATGAGAATAAATACCAATCACATTAGTTAATGATGCCCAAGTCCACATCGAATTTGACACATGTGGCTGCAACGTTGGATTCTTATTTAGCATTCCTGTTTTTTCTCGGCAGCCCCCATCGCTGACGGATCTCCTGAACCGACTGGGGATCACCGTGAGCCAAACGGAACAGCTGATCCGCTGGGACACGACCTCGGTCGTGTCTTCCCTCATCACCTACGCCGTGCCGATCGTCCTCGTAGCGGTCGTCATGGGATATGCCTGTAGGTTCTTCAGGCTATGCGCGTGGAGAGTAGATCCAGTTGAGGGAGATTCACAATTTTTCCTATGGGGGCAATTTACAGTGGGTCCAGTTGGGGGTGACTCACAGTAGATCCAGTGGGGAAGGGGGGGGGGGACTCGCAGTGGCAGAACACTTGTTCCTTCCGACATCCGTTGCTGAACGGATCTTTGTCTTTGCATCCATTTGGGTCCGTTTGGGTGAAGTGCCTTAAATTATCTGTAGCAGCTTCCTCGCCACTATCTAAGCTTCATCCTCATGGACCTCATGAGGTGCAAGGAGACGGGAGGAACGGCTCTTGGCACAGTGCTGCGGGCGATCTGCTGGCACTTCATCGCCTCCTGTAATGGATTCACCCATAGAAACGAAACGATGTTGAAGCACAAAATCCACTTGGAGTTCTTTGAAGGGCTGTCTCACTCTTCGCCATTATTTCAGAGACAAAAGGCAGGGTCGGTCTTTATTCACGTATTGACTTTTACTGTGTCAGAATCAATCCCAAGTCTACCATTCAAAAACAAGAGATTTCATTGTAGATCCAGGGCGTCTGTGACGACTGCAGAAAAGGTAACATTAGAACGAAAATAGAATTAATTTCAAATATGGGGCACGTGTAGGGCAGAGGAGTCCCAAACCCCTTCATTAAAAAGAGGGCTCTACTCTCCTGTTACAATATTCTTGAACGCATATCGAGTCTCCGCTAATATATATCTGGCACTTGCAACATTCACTGTATTTCCTCCTGCAGGGATCGTGTTCGGACTGGTCCAGTTCGAAGTGGCTGCTGTAGGAAACTCACCGAAACGGCAAGACGAATTTCCCTCTGACTTCTACCCATTGGACGCCTACCCTTCGGGCGCTTACCCTTCGAATGTCTACTCTTTGGATGCGAACATCTCGGACACCAACCTTTCGGACGCCAACCCTTGGGGCGTCAACCCTTCGAGCGCTTACCCTTCGGGAGCTTACAATTCGGACGCTTACCCATCGGACCCTTACCATTCGGACGGCTCGCCATCTGACGTCTACCCCTCCTACGTCTACCAACATCCCATACGTCAGGACCAAAACAACAATAACAACCTATTCAACAACAACCTATTCTCCAGTGAACCTCAAACAAGCATCAACGAATCCCATAGCCAACCCATCAATGACGGGAACTCGAAAGAGGATTCGCATCAAGAAAAGAAGAAAAAGGGAGTCAAGAAAATCAAGATGAAAGGGTGGACGATCCGTCGCACATAAGCCATGTCAACTTATTTTTATTTAAATGAATGGTATGGGATTTTGTGCCAGAGTTATGGAAGGCCCTCCCGAATGCGAATACATTTTGTATGGGTCTTCGCTGGCCGGAAAATAACTTCATTGTGAAAAATCTATCGTCTTGATTGACTGTGAGAATAAAACCAAATCTGCTCGAGAGTTTCCCTGATTCGACAAAAACCGAATGGTGCGGAAAAGTAATGATGCTGCAACATTTACCCGAAACCCCATGGGAAATTGCGGCAGGATATTTGCAGATCAATCGCCGCAGACATCACGTGCTTAGCACGAATACTCAGCTTGCATACTTAGCATGCATGGACTAGATGCATGCCACCTGAATCATGAAGCTGATGCGGAACCCGCCGCCCTTCCTTCCGACAATCTACGAGTTCACGGGACGAGGCAATGCCTCTAAATTGCGTCTGCATTGTCTCATCCCATGACCTCGAAACTTGACTTTTTTTTCCCACACATCTGCGAGAGTTCCCCCGACACGTTTCGTCGATGAAATCGTCCAAAGCGATCGCTTTGAGGGTTTCCCGCCATGGCAATGAGACAATCTCGCAGGTTTCCACCCAGAATATTCGCCTCACAGCCTTAAAACTATAACCGGTCCCATGGTAAGGCAATACCAACTTGTGTATCAAAATTGTATCCCGATCGCTCCACTCCTTCTTGGTCGTACATTTTCTCGGTGGTTAGTACACTTTGCATTTCAACTTTAAGCACCAGATTCATTGTGATTACTAGATCCAATCTCTACAACAACAAACAGTAACTGATTTTTGGACCCTGAAGCCAGCCGCTTAAAATGAGATTATATGTTTCTAAGTTCAAATTTAAACAAATCCATTCATCCCTGCTTACTTTTTATTTATTTGCTTCTTTAGGGAGACATTTTTGACACACATCGACCTCACACAAACAATATAATGAAATCTCGAAAGAATTTACGGAACTACGTATGGTGCAAGTTGATTCTGTTTCCGTTAGGACAAGACAATGGAACATTTTCAGATGTTCAAGACTGTCAATGTTTGAAATCTGGACATTGGCTCCTTCAATTGGCTCGCAGGCCACTAAGTGCTTGAAAAACCGGTCCTGCATCTCCCACTTAAATTATGGTATATCATGAAATTATTTGATCTTAACTGGAAACTGGAAAGTTTCATGCTAATTGTTTTGTCCATTTTGGAAACATATGTCTACCTAATTAAGATGATAAGACTGATAATTTTATACAAACACCTAGGGCATGGATCTCCCACTTAGCTTTTAATATAATCCCGAATTTATATTATTCTCCTTTGCATTCCTCATTCCCATTTGTTAGTCTAAAAAGTGAAGCTTTTCGGAAGCTGAAGCTCATTAATCTTATCTTATCTCTTATCACGGGTCCGAGTTCTCTTTATCCGGGCTCTCTTATCACGAGTGCCCTCTCGAAGGTATAAAATCATTATCCGTGCTTGTGCCTCGCGAGGAACTTTTAAGTGGTAAGTCCACCATTCATATTGCTTTCAGTTTTTCTCGATTTTCACAATTTCTTCTCGGCTGCAGCCCAAAAGCGCGCAAGATGTCGTTTAAAGACTTCTTGGAGGGCATGCCTGTCTTGGGTCATGCGATCGCCGTGGGGCATCACGTCGTCGGGGACGCGGAGGGCGGTGAGCGCGCCATGCAAGCGGCGAATCGCACGACCGGGCTGGTCGTGGGGACGACGGTGGGCGTGGCGGCGGGTGCTGTGGGTGCCGTGGCGGGCGCGGCGGGAGGCATCGTGGCGGGAGGGCTGAGCGGGATGGCGTCCGGCGGGATGAAGGGAATGGCGGCTGGCGGGAGAGGAGGAATGGAGGGAGCAAAGTCCGGCCTGCAATTGGCCGAGGATCTCGGCAAGGGAATTCGACCGGAAAACTGAAGACTGGAAGCGCCCTAAAACCATGATGTCCCCCGAAGTGCTAATTTACTTTGATGACAATATTCTCTAAAATGATTTGATTAATTAAATCCTTGCTAATGAAGCCGTTCCTTCATTTCAAACGTGATAATGAACATATCAATAATGGTTATCTGACTACGGGAATTCCACGTTTTCGTGGGTTTAAAACAACTCTAATTTGTTGACAGTAATTGTGGAAAGGTGGATTGGCAAAGGTTAAGTGGTTAAGAATTTAAATTACAAAATTGACCACCATTTTCTTTCAATCTTCAAGTCCTGTTGAAATGAAGCAATATATAGTCACGACTGTGCACGCAAAAAGAGGTGGATAAATGTGACTGGAATGGATACACAGACTCTCGAAACTAACATTTTCCTATCATTCGTACTGAAATGAAATGGTTATTGATACATATCGGTTGTGCATGCAATGTCAATTGTAAATATTCTCCATGGGCATAGATATACTTGTCGCACCACTAAACTTGACTTTCTCTGGTACTGTTGCAGATCTGCACTGTTGCATTTGACGGCCACACGAAGTTCGATATGATTGATACCCCGTTTCAGCTGCATGCGACTGGGAGATAGCCACGGATGCCCCTGATATCTGTCGACGCCTAACCCTTCCAAAAGAAGCCCCGCCTCCTTCTCCTCTTCTTCCTCCCCCTCCTCTTCAATATCCTCATCATCCATATTGAACTCAAAGATGAACTCACTTCTTCCTTCTGTCGTGTCCAATATCCATATATGGTAACAATAATCTCTGAAAACAAGGTAATATCTCAGAAACATGGAAAATAGGAGAGCGAAGACCAGATCTACTCATGGCCTAAAATACATAAGAGGGCCAGATTCTTAGAACTTCGAAAGTCAGTCAAAGAAACTAGAAAAATAAGCCATTGCAAGATGTAAAACAGGAAAATTCCCTCAACAAAATGGTGCTTCCATCATTGACGGCTCATTCATTCTTTTGCCGTAAAAAAAACCTAGTCAACAGGGATTGCTCCTCGATAGGGAGTGCTCCTCGATACATCAATCTATACTGAGCCTTAAGGATTCCCATACATGTTCATACTCATTCCAATCCACGAGAATATCAAGGATTGTTATCGTGCGTGGATTTCGGGGTTTGGTGACGAGGCACCCAACGCTTATATGTAATTCCACCCATGGGATTTCCGAGAAAGATATTTGGTACTGAATGGTTCGCGCGTTCACGTCAGGATGGACCTCAGTGATGCGAAAGGCTGTAGTAACTCAGGTCCAACTATGTTATAGGAGCGTCCGTTGAGGACGGCCAAAACGAACCAAACCCAGCATGCTGAGTTCGGTCCGGGTATTCGTCGTCGCCCCGGATAATCAGGTCTGCGATTGTCACTATGCTCCAAGCCCAAACAGCATGTTTATGTTAATTTCACGTAAAATGAATGTAAATTTTTTGTCCATTTTATATTATTTTTATGCAAACCATTGTCAAGAAAATGTCAACATGTTTGCAGAAATGTCAACTCTGTGATACGTAAACGGTGATATAAAATTAGCGTAAATTGAACGTAAAATTGACATTCCCATTTGCATTCCAAACAGCATGTTTAGATTCACTTTACGTAAGATTTATGTTAATTTCCCCTGGCATTCATGCGTAGTTAAAGAGTCAATCAGTACCAATGAAGAGAATTGATATACTGAATCTCCTATTCCTTTACGTTCCTCAGAAATCTAGGGTGGTTGGACGAGTACACGAGGATTCATCCTCACCTGCACTCAAGAGTACCAAAGTGACCTACTGCTTCCTCCTAACGTAACGGAACCTCGGGAGTAAGAGTAGATGTTCAAAGGTGTTCTCTTCCTTTTAGGATAAATTAGATGAGGTACTTGTGGGGCAGGGATTCTACTCTTCCCTAATCCCGTGCACTGCTGTAATAAAACATTGTTTGCAAAAAATTGATATCTTGTTTACGTGAACATGCTGCTTGGGAGGGTGACATTATCTAACAAAATTAAGGTGTCTGGATTTCCTATCATTCAACGAGAGACTTTGGAATACCTTTAATTTCGCCGGAAAATACATACCGAGCCCCTAACTCAATGCATGGTCAAATCGCCATGCACTTCACTTACAGCTCTCGATAGGCTTGACTTCGGGGCATCCAATTTCTTAAAAGCGAAATTTCCTAACAGACTCTCTCCCACTCCTACGTAATTACTGCACGTACTGTATACTACTCATCGTCCTGGGGCGACGACGTGTCACTCCAACATTCAAGGGTGCCCACACATTTTCTATGGGGTTGAGGTGGGGAGACTGCCTTTCAAAACGCGACACCCCATTATCCACCCTCCAGTTGGTTGCCTGCTTTGAGGTGTGCATCTCATTATTCTCCTCCTGCAGCACCCAGGACTTCATTGATTCAGAATTTTGATGACTGAAGAGGATAAGAATCGATGAGCATCAGCAGATGGATATCCAGATTCCGGGTGTAGGTGTAGGTCTTTTCAAATCCTCCAGTAAACCCTCCAGTAGAGAAGTAGCCCCAAACATGCACTTTACCCAAGTGTATGACAGTCGGAAAGATCATACTTCCTCCCTGAAGACCCTCGAAATCGGGTGAATGAAGATGATGGTGGTCTTATCTGTATCACCCGGCCACAGATGGAGGTTTTAACAGTCGGAACGTTCACTTTTTTCCAGGAGGGAGAGTGATACATCGGAATGTCAGACAATCGGGTAAGATGCATGTTTGGGGTTGCTTCTCTCAATCTCAAACTTCGCTGAAGAGTATGGTTCCAATAAGCCTCCGTTAAGACTAAGCTTGAGTTGCTGATCGCTAATGAGAAGCGTACCCCGCCGAGAATTAGCCTACCGTTGAGGAATCCCTCTTGTTGCAATCCGGGAATTCAGCCGGATTCAGTGTCTGAAGGGTATTTCCATCGGTACGTTGACCGAACACCGTCAGGGAGAGGTCTGGCCACAACCACCCACGCGATATTGCATCTACAATGAAATGTGGTACCTGGAATGCTGTGGAGGGGCGAATGATTTTCAGATGGCACAATTGATGAGAGAAGGGATTTTGGGTGGCTGCGACGTAGAGAAATCTTTTGTCGCTTAACTGATTCATTTGATAGTGAGAATTACCTGCTTGGCGGACAAGAAGCCTTAAATGAAGAAGGCAAATTCTCTGAGCTAAATGAGCCCAAAAACTCAAGAGAGACGCTAGCGATACAAATAATAATCATGGCCTATGGTTTAGGAAGGGGGATCATACCTGAAATTGGCTACGATAACAGACTTTAGATACGATTCACGAAGCATCACACTTCTCAGGACTGAAGAATGGAATGGCAAGGTCTCGCTCGGCAAACATCCCCCAGCTCCCCGTGCGGCTAAAGAATCCAGGCGGAACCTCCAAGCGGAAGCTCTAGAAAAATATTTTCAATATTACGATGAATGAGATCAGCAGATAATCGTATTTGCGATACTCAAAGAATAGATATTCCATTGCACCATACACTCTTAGAGAAAGGGGAGCGATTTTTCTCAAAAAATAGGGTAAAATAGCTAACTCCAGTTTCACCCCCCTTTCACTCTGGGAAGGGAGCGAATTTGCTCCATCAACGAGTAAAATTGCTCTCCTCCTCCGTGAGTAAAAACGCTCCCATCAGAAAGTGATAGAGATGTCATGCAAATACGAAAATTCTCATATTTAATGTGTGTCGCTTTCGCTCTCGTACAGACGATGACATACCTCTGACAGTACTGATTGCAGCACAGGTCAGAGGAAGAATCACCTCTTATAGATTCCATGAAGTACCCGGAATATCAGTCCATTATCACCTCAATTAACTGATATATATGATTGAAGTTCACGGACACTCTCTGTTTATTCTAGGTCTCCTATGCGGATAAGACCAAACGTGTTCCAAAAGGGTTCTCAATAGGAATATGAGCTTGTTTATGGCCTGGACTCTATGAATATGTCTTGATTATGTGGATAACAAATGATGAAGTGTCCGTGCTTATTGATTCCTATTATGAGACTATGCGAGACATATGGCAAGGTACTAAACAATCCTGGAAGGGACGATTCCAGGGAAAGAGAGAAGGGAACTTTTGTGTACTGCGCGAAAAGCGAGACCCTTACCGCCATCTAGGGGCCTGGCGAGGAACTTCAAGGTGTTCACTTCAATACGAGCGATGAGGGAGCATTTGGTGAGTAATAAGAGAGTAAATTCGAAAAGCTCACGGTGTGCTCACNGAGTAATAAGAGAGTAAATTCGAAAAGCTCACGGTGTGCTCACTTTTTACTCACCAAACGCTCGGAATTTTCTAAGACTGGATTCTGATCAGCCTCTTCCCAACCATGCTTGGTCGTCCATAATGCACAATGGAAATGCGTATATAGCCAAGATTAGTTGAGGGATTTCAGTGGCTTTGCATCGCCGAGAAATGCCCACCTCCTCTTCCACATCGTTTCGAAGGGCCCCCTCATATACCCTCGGGATAATTCATTCGCTTTTAATCGTACGTAAGAGCATGAGAGTGCATACTGTAGCTTCTTCACCCAGTCAGTTTACCTCCGGTGGGTGTTCGTGGCTCATGCGTCTTTAAGGGATTTTAATACCTACATTAACTCCACTTTTCGAGTCCAGTTTCATATGTTGTTTTTTCGTTTAGTGCATTGGTGGGGTAACATGTATCTCCTAAACATAAAAATGTACGATATTCCCATAACATGTACAGAGGCAATCCAGCTCAAATGGTCGAGATGGTCGCGCTTCTGACTTCCATTTGATTTAACAGATTTTTGCATGTTGACATGCAAGATATTAAAAATCAAAATGTTGGTTCGAACGGTCTGCGAGTTATGCGGCCACAAACTTAGCCCCCCAAGGGGGAGGGTGATCTATGAGTTTAAAGCGCTATCTTTGGTCCTAGTCAATCTGGAAAAGCGATTTTTCGGCCATTTTCAAAG